AGCTCTGTCTGCTTTCTTGAGTGTGACGCTTGCTTAGGGCCATTGGCTGGGATTTATTGTATTTTCTTTTATAACTAACATGGTTCCTTTATTAAGGTTGGTTTCGTGATTTTGCCATTTATATTTTTGTTGCAATCTTCCTAAATATTCTGTGCTCCAACCTTTCCAGAAGTCCTTTTTCATTTTTTTGGTAAGCCTCCATTTCTCTGACAAACTGGAATTTATATTACTTGCTATTGGGTCAATTGGAGATAATATTCCCTTTCCAATTAAAAATGATCAAGAGTTAGGACAAAATAGTCGTCTACGTCTTCAGAGAGTGGCCATAAGGGCCTAGAATTGAGGCTTGCTTCGATTTGGTGTAACAAAGTTGTGAGTTCTTCATATGTGAGGGTTGTTTCTCCAATTACTCGTTTGAGGTGACGTTTCATTGACTTGACTCCAGCTTCCAACAGTCCACCAAAATGAGGTTCCGCCGGTGGGATGAAGTGCTTAGTGCCAAGGTTGACAATTGTATTTTGCACGGATTGGTGTTGAGTTAATTTGAGAACTTTTTCTTCGAAATATTGTGCTGCCCCAACAAAATTTGTTCAATTATCACTGTATATTTTCGCAGTGACCTCTTCTCGCAGTAAATCTCCGGAAGGCTGCTAAGAACGAATCGGTCGTCATATCGCTTACCAGTTCTAGGTGTATTGCCTTAGTGGAAATACATACAAAAACACAGTCACAAGTCGTTAAGTAGCTTTGATTTTGATAGGGCCGGCATAGTCAAATCCACTGTTGATGGACGGTGGGGATGGTGTGACTCTTGTGGCAGGTAATTGGCCGATTTGCTGTTCTGAGATTTTTGCTTTGTACCTGATGCATGTAATACATACATGCATGGTTTCCGCCATGCATGGTTTTGTGATGTGCGTCCATTATTATTAGTTTGCTCAAATGATTTTAACTTGGTAGTATTATAGGATGTTTTTGACTGTATGGTAACTCTGACTTTTGTAATCTTCCGCCAACTCGTAGAATTTGTTCCCCGTCAATAAATGGGCTTAGGTTGTGTATTTTGCTTGATTTCTCCACGTTTCTCTTTGTGATAATGGAGGATATCTCAGATGGAAATTCGCAGTTTTGGATCACTTTGATAACTTCTTGGAAGGTTTTTCTTGTTTTTTCGACAGATAATATTGGTTTATTGGACCTGTGGAAGACTCTTCGACAGTAGATTAATATTCTTATCATTCTGGTCAAGTCGGAGAATCGTTCGATTATATTTTCTGTGATTTGTATTTTAACCTAGAAACATTTCATGGTTTTCTTTGCTTCTTGGTCCGTTTCGGGTATTTCTATAGCTAATGGTGGTGGTTCATGACTATGAAGCCATGCTGGTCCATTCCACCACAGGAGATTGTTTGCTAACTGCTCTGGATTTGACCCTGTGAATATAACGTCTGCTGGATTTTCGGATGTTCTTACGTGGTTCCAGTGACTGCTGCCTACGTATCTATTTATATCACTCACGCGATTGGCAACAAATGTTTTCCATCGATTGGGCTGGCCTTTTATTCATCCTAATGTTATCATGGAGTCACTCCATGCGAGTTTCTATATTTTCTATCTCTAGTGTCGAAATAGTTTGATTTATCATTTTCACTAATAAGTGTGCTGCACAGAGTTCAAGTCTCGGTAGTTTTGTTCTTAGTTTCGCTGGGGCTACTTTTGATTTTGCTCAGAGAAGTATGACAACTATGTTCTCTTCAGTCGTCATTGTTCGGCTATAGATCACAGCTCCATAGGCCTTTTCAGAGGCGTCGCAGAATCCGTGAAGTTAAATAGGTTTCCTTGGCTGAATTGCATCCATCTTGGAATTCTGATATCTTTAACTTTATTTATGTCCTTTCTATAGGTTATCCATCTGTCTGCTAGTTCACCTTCTATTTTCTCATCCCATCCTAATCTTTCTACTATGAGTACTTCTGATTTGATGACTATAGGTGATAAGAATCGAAAAATTTTGATATCTCCGATAAGATGCGCCTTTCTGCTATTAGACTCTCTGGTGATGTAGTAACTTTAAACATGAAGTTATCATCAGACGGCGACCAAAATACAAAGTATTTATTGGCTTTGTATCGATTGTCTGTCATGGTTGCTCTATTTTCCCTTATCATAGGAACAGTATTCAAAATATTATCCTTGTTATGAAGTACTCTATTTCCATGTTCTTCTTTCATCTCTTATATCCGTTTCAAATCGCCTGGTAACTATTTGTTTTTTTTTTCCACTTGATTTGTTTTTTCACTTTCTTATTGTAATATTCATATTTTGCTTCATAATATTCATTATCGATGTTGTTCAGTTTTTTATAGAAATATTCCCTTTTTCTAATCAGTAATAAAACCTTATTTGTTATGTACTCTTTGCCTTCAACCTGTTGCATTTGTTTGACAACCACTCGATTGTTGTCCACAAAAGCCCGCTCAAATCACCATAGAATACCTCCGCATCAGTATAATGATCTAGTCCTTTTACTATCACTCTCAGACTATCCCTCGTTGCCAGAATGTCCACCCTCCTGAACACCTGGTACGTAATCTCGGGTTTTCGTCTGCAGTTTAACTTCCAGGGATAGAGAGAACTTGTAATCTGTGTTCGCTGATGCATTGGTCAATCAGTGCTTGTTTAAAGTTCCCATAATTACAGTTTATCAGTATATGATCAACGAGAGATGAATTATTTGATCTTCTAGTGAATTAATCACTATTTAACGCCCCATATCCAAAGGTTTTATAAAGATCAGGTATGCTATAACTATTCTCCTTTCGATTCCTCTCTGATTTAATTGCAGTTTATTTAGAATTTTCTTTGTGAGCGTCCATGTTTCGCTTCCATAGGCAGCTACTGGCAGAATACATTTGTTGTAGACTTTAGTTTTCAGGTAACTTGGACCAGCGTATGTAGCGCATTTTACAATACGCCGCCCATCCCAGACGGATTCTATTAACTTCAAGATCTTCATCGACTTTGCCAAGTGTTATTTAGTGTCCTAGATACTTATAGGAGTTTACTTAGTTTCACCTGATGGTATTCTGTGTATATTGTGTCCCTATCTGTTTGCTCATTTGTCATGAACTGGCTTCTTGCAGTAATACTTTCAGCTTGATTCCTAAGTCTGTTTCGTTCGGGGCGATTATTATGATGTCATCAGAAAATCTTAAGTTATTGAGGATATATTGATTTCTCTATTATCCCGATGTAGTTTCTTGAACACATCTTCGACTAGGGTGAACAGAGACAACTTTGTAATTCCTCTTTTGTGTGCGTTCTCCTGATTGAAAATGTTTGAGCCTTTTTGTTGTTCTATCAGTTTTTGGATTTATTTTTCTTGGTAGTTTTCAATGTCTTCTTTTGTCATCCTTGTGGCTATTTTGTTAACCTCTCTGTATTCTGGTGTATCTTTTTTCCTTGTTATATGAGTTCTCTTCTCAAGTATTTGTTTTTTTTCTAAATTTTTTTGGCCTAGCCTTCGGTGTCTTGATCTTTTTTGCTGTTTCTTTTATTATTTTCGTTATTTTTTTATTAATTTGATTTATATCTTCGTGGATTTTTATAAGGTCTTTCTCTCGTTTGTGTGTTAATTTTGTTGCGATTTCTATTTTATGTGTTTTACTGGTATATGTGCTTAATTTCTTTGCTCTTTCTAGTCTGCTATTTATGGCTATTTCAAATCTTACCATTCTATGATCGCTGTCAGTCGTGAATGAGCCTAGGACGTCGATATCTTGATGTGTTTTTGATGTGCCAGTATAAAGTATATTTCGTTTTCTGTCTTTCCATCTGAATGTGTTCATCGCAAAGTGTTGCTCTCTATCTAAAAAGTTGATAAGCATGTTGCTTCTTTCATTTTTTGTCCATGTCCGAATTTGCCAATGTAACATGAATCGGTGTCATCTTTTTGTCCTATTTTTGCATTCAAATCTCGCAGAACTAGTGTGTACTTTGTTTTGTTCTCGTGCAGACACTGTGTTTCCTCTTCATGACGTTCCTCCATCTCTTAGTCCTCCTGGTCGGTTGTTGGTGCGTAAAATTGATTGACTTTGATTGTTGTATTCTTGTCGATTTTCAATGTTATGTATATCACCCTGTCAGATTTGCTCTTGAGTATTTTTAGGTAGGATAGGTCTTAGGATGTACTCAATGAAAAATATTAACCATGCCTATAACTAATCGCCCGTAGAGATTGAGCTACTCAGTTCATGAAATCATAAAAGTTCATCAATCCACAGGATAATTCAAGTAGAAGTTGGTAATTTCTATTAAAAATAACAGATGCAAAAATACAGAGAATACTTTTACTCCCAATGAAATAGAATATTTTATTTTCAAACGATCTTTATTCCAAAAAATGCATAATTTTTAATCTAAATTATGACATGTCATATTCAGAAGGATCACCTTTATAAGCACCTATACCTGTATGTACAGGTGAACTGCAATCGCTATGGAAAAATATGTATAACGTCGTATAAATGTTATACTCCGCCGGAGTATAATATTTATACGCCGCTCAAGCTGAAAGTCATTGAAGTGACTCTTATACCTTGTCAAAATGATCACAAAAATACCTGTTATATGACATTCGAAAATAAACAAATAAATCCAGCGCAATGGAGTAGGTATTACTAATTCGAATAATTCGATTTATCAGGCAACAAAATGTACCTTTAAAATATTCAATTTTAAATCATAAGAGATTCGAGATTGCCTATAGCATTGACGATATAATTAGGAATATACTGGAAGAATATGTGAAAATAAATGAAAAAAGACAAGCCATTGAAAATATCTTCAGAGATCAACAGAAAAAAAGGAACAGATACAATGAAAAGAGAACTAAACCAGATACATATTTCAACCAGAAGATCATGTTATGTTGAAAATGAAAAATTAATCACTCATCGTTACAAGAGATTCTAGACAACTCTTGTCGAATTACGATATAGAATCGAAGATATGGCGGTAATACGGAGCAATTTTGTCTTGAGGTTGCTGTGGTGGATACACTAAAGTCATCCAGCCTAATTGATCTTGAAGATTCAGATGAAGATGAATTCGAAACCAATGGGTCGGTTTTGAACGATGAGTTTCAACTTCACTCAAAACTTCAACTCAAAAAACCAAGGACTCAAGGAAAACAGAAGGACAACTCATCAGAAAAAAGTAAATAAAAATTCTAACGTAAAGGAAAGCTAGGAAATTACAAAGAAATAGAAAAAGGCCAATGTATTTTGAGGAGTATTGTATTTTCGAACACGAAAATTTTTGAAATTATATCTGTATGGTAAAATATTGTCATAAGTAGGTAATTACCTAGGTATGTGAATGGTTTATACTATTTTTAATACCTATTTAGAAGTACCAGTCGTTCTAGTGACAAAACGTATGTCGCTTCTTGACACACAAATAAAACTATTGTTTGTCGATTTTTAACTGATACTTGCGGTATGAGGTGCGAGAGGGTGTTTCATATGGCAAAAACAGGTGTGACGTCAGGTAACCATTGGCATTCTAATGTAGGGAGCCACCAGCTCACATTCCGTCCGAGTATCAGATTAAAATCGACGAACAATAGGTCAGGAATTTCCTATTTGTACATGAAATTGACGTATCGTTATAATAGTAATAGTAATCGACGTTCGTTTTTGTTGGTAATTTTTTGTTTCATCTGATTAGTAATTGATAAATAAGGATGGGGTTATTCTAAATGGGTATTACAAATACTATATATCGCCTCTTTTTGAGATAACCGCCATAATATCTTGATACCCCAACTCACGTTGTGTAAAAAGGTGACAAGCAGCACGTATGTACATAAACTCATGTAGATAGGAAAAGTACGAATAATTGCAAATAAATAATAATTTTCAAAATTGCAGTTTTATCCGAGGTTTTTTTGGTTTTCTCAACAATGTTGTATTTGGCACATGGCCCCTTTCTTGCTCTACAGTCTACAGGAGCGATAGGTATATTAGAACCAATCTGTACTACGCATGATGTGATATCGTGTTCAATAAATGGATAATAGATATTAAAGAAAAATATTGTGAAAGTTTTCATAGAAAAAAGAGTTTTTCTGAAAATAAATATTTAAGAAACTATGAAGAAGTAATCTTCTATTTACTAGAATTAGTGATTGAAGCAAATTTTGTAATATATTTTGTCATATTCCTCCATAATATCATGACATTGTACCTTTTACGACCCTCGAATACTTTCCCAAATAATGTCTCGCCGTGGCCGAAAGCAATACTATTATATGACCCAGACTTTCTGTTAAAGAACCCAAAGATATTGTATGTAAATAAATTAAACATTTGTCCACCATAAACCCCAAAATTCCCAAATATCCTTAATGGTCATTCTTTGGGCGAACAGACTGTCATTTATTGCCAATATTTATTTATTTTCCAGTTGTAATTATGTAGGTTTTAGAAACGTTTTAGAAGGGATGTAAAGGTCGATTTGTAAGAGATCTAGTGAAGCAAGAAGCCAGTCTTAAGACAGCTTCAGTCGTAGTAACACATTTTGTTAAAACTCTCTCTAAAATAAGTCTTACTTTTGCTGTAGTTCAATTTCATTCTATATTCCATTAACTAATAAAGCTACAAGTTTCAAACCAAAAACAAAAGTAGTTTTAACCAAGGCAAAACACTGAAGGATCACAACAGATTTTGGCGCGGTCGGTACGATTCAGAAGTATCTAGCAAGATCCAGCAGGATTTGGATACAAAGATTCAAGACATACCATAGTCAGCCAAAGCTATCATCAGCGTTGACCAGTATTGGATTGAATCACAGTTGTTGTGTAACCACTAGCTTTCAAGTTTTTTGGTAAGTGATTTTTGTCTCTTAATGAGGTTACTTTTGTTTGTCTAACTCCTTTATTAATACTTATATGCCAATATGACTCCTCCTGCCGTAAACCCAGACCTACAAACAATATTATTAGAAACTTTTCAAAACATTTTTAATCAACTTCCTTCGTCAAATTCCAACCCAAATAATGGAAGGTTTTCCGTAGATTTTTTATGCAAACTAATACCTAATAGTTTTGATGGCAATCGTCTTGAGTTAGGGCAATTTTTAGCGAATTGTAATAATGCCAATGTATTAGCACAGGACGATCAGAAAAATCCTCTTTTATATTTTATTTTATCTCGAATCGGTGGCAAAGCTAAAGAACAGTTAGCTACCCAAAACTTTGATAATTGAGATACCTTAAAAGACGCTTTAAAAACTTTATATCAAGACAAAAAACATTACGTTCAATTAATGGAAGAGCTAAATAATTGCAAACAAAGTCCTAACGAATCAGTGAAAGACTTTTTTCAACGTTTGGAAACAATTAACTCGCGATTGATATCTACTTCTCAACAAAATTGTACAGAACCGGAAGAGATTCCTGGAAAACTGAAAATGTTGAACGAAATTGCTTTAAATAGATTTATTTATCATTCGAAACCCGAAATTTCGCGAATGTTGAGATGGAAAGATTTTGATTCGATTAATTCTGCGTATAGTGCAGCTATTTCTGAAGAACGCGCTGTGGCTATGTCGCGCAGTTCAACTCAGTTTTGCAAAAATTGCAAAAACAACTCGCATTCTACAAATAATTGTTTCAAAACAAGAAATCATGATGCAAACGTAAGAACTTTGTTTACGAATAATCAGATATTTTGTCGTTACTGCAAAAAACAAGGGCATGTTATTGAAGAATGTAGAAAAAGACAATATAATAATAATGCAGGAAGATCTAATAATTCGATGAATTTCCATGTTAATCGACAGCATACTAACCAATCTCATCAAAACTCTAATTCCCAAAACTCAAACTATCAATGTAATAATAGAAATCCAAACTCTAACTTCCAAAACTCAAACTATCAACATAATAACAGGAATCAAAACTCTAATTCTCAAAACTTAAACCAAAACTCGAGCAATCAAATTAATAGAAGACCTTATCGAAATTCGACAAATCATAATCCAGTTTTTCGCGACTCACCTCATACGAATTCAAGGCAGAACGCGAACGTTAATTCAATTCAATACAATTCTAATGTACCAAATTATCAACCAAGTCATTCAAATTCTTTAAACTCCAACGCTCCTCCAATGACGAACACCTCACTGGAGGATTATCTCAAAACTTTAGCGGTGTTCGAGAACGATGAGAACTAACAATATTTCTTGCTGAAAATAGCTCAAGTTTCATTGAACTAGAAAGTAAATATTCAAAAAATCAAAACAAAAAACTCCGATTTTTACTTGATACTGGTGCAAGCTGCTCATTGATAAAAGCCAACAAACTCAATCCTGAGATAACTAAATTTGTTCCTTCAGAAAAAATATCTCTTCATGGACTCTGTCCTAATTCTCCAATTCAAACAGTTGGAACTACCACTATTCCTTTTAACATTAACAATCAGATTTTGAACATAAAATTCCACATACTAAATCAGGCTACAAACGTCCCTTATGACGGTCTAATTGGATTGGATTTTATTCAAGATCAAAACGCAAAAATCGATTTTAAAAAACGAACTCTATCTCTAAACTCATTGCCATTTCAAATCCCTATCGGATTAAACGCTAATCCTAACACTGGTTCTTATTTTGTTCTCAAATCTCGTACGGAAACAATAATAGAAATCAACGTTCTAAACCCGGAAATAAAAGAAGGGATCATACCAGATATGGAAATATCTAAGGGAATCTATTTATCCCGAGCATTGACTAAAGTAAATTCAAATAATAAAGCTTTTGCAACAATCTTAAACTCAAAAGTAATTGATTTTCAATTAAAACCTATTTCAATCTATTTAGAACAGATTCCTAAAGAAAGCTACTGTTATTTTGCTTCGGAACAAAGTACTGAAAATAATTTTATTAAAAATAGGAGCCAACTATTGAAACAAAATCTTAGATTAGACCATTTAAACCAAGAAGAAAAGAGCTTCATAACTAATCTTTGTGAAAATTATGAAGATATTTTCTTTCTACCTGGAGATACCCTTGGTTGTACTAACACTATTAAACATGAAATAAACATCTCTGATTCTAAGCCCATTCATACAAAAACGTACAGGGGGGTGTATTTGAAATCCATGCAAATCTGTCACATGCGACGCAGTCGGTCGAAATATGTGCGTCGACGAATTCTGAAAATTTACGATCGGCTTATTTGAAAGCTTGTGCATTTTGTAAATCGTGAATTATCAAATTTGCACTACTCAACTTGGCAACGTGTCCTGTAAAAGATTCTAACCAATGACATTGTTAGAAAATTTCATATGACCAAACGGAACGATGCATTGAAATGTCAAATTTGAAATTGTTTATTGTAAACAACTTTTTTGATTATTTCCGTGCATACAGTTTCGTGTTTAGTTGGAGTTTTGTGTTTTTTTTCTTGATATTATCTTAGTTTATTTTTTCTATAAATGTAGGCAATACTGCAAAAAGGATGGAAAGTGCGGGGGCAAGTGCCAATAAGAGAAGGTCCGGATTTGTTACCAAAAAACAAAAAGAACTCTTGGTCGAATTTTTGCACAAATATCCGGCCCTTTTGTCGGGAAAATTTTCGAACTGCTTTTCATGGAAGGAATCTCGAAACATTCTTTTTAAAGTCGAAAGTTTTTTATAAATTCCCCGTCATTACCTAAGCATTGTTAATGCATGCATCTATTCTTGGATTTCTAAAGCCTTTGCGGTTATGGTTATACAATTCGGCCCTTTCTAGAGCATTTAAATTAACAATATTTTCGAATTCCATGAGGCCAAGCATATTTTTGGTCGACTAAACTTAAATTTTTAATAACTTTCGCGTGCAATTTGGAAATGCACGAGCTCTAGAGGTGACGCATGTCAAATGCAATCTTGCGTCGACGAATTTAGCGAAATGCGTCGACGGAAGTTTCAAATAAGCCACATGTGCATTTTTTTGTATTTCACCGGTAACAATTGCGACTTAGTCAGACGTATTTGAATTGCACGTTTCAAATAAACCCCCCCAGATACCCAGAAATTCATAAAACCGAAGTTAATAAACAAATCAATAAAATGTTACAACCGGGAATAATTCAACCGTCTGCATCGCCTTGGTCTGCCCCTCTATGGGTAGTACCAAAAAAAATGGACGCTTCGGGGGAACAAAAATG